AAAAAAAAAAAAAAAACAGTGAATCATTTTCTTGTGTGCCTTGTGTGTTGACTGGTCATTTAGAGTGATSTGTTAGCTCAGGGATGGCTTCTTAGCCAGTCTTTGTGAGTCATGCTTAAGATAACGCTAGTAATCTGCTGAGCTCTGGGTATCTTCTGCAGAGTTCCAAGGCTTGTATTTGCCTTCGCCACTGGCACAGAAAAGGAGTTAGCCTGGTTTACACTACTGGGGGACTGTATGTAGGTAGTACAGGCAGACTGCACAAAACATTTAGACTGTATTTTTTGTCTATAAGCAGCATCACTGAGATGCTGTCAGACTGATGTATGCCAGCCAGTGTTCTTATACCTGTAGTGACCTTTGTGCTATTAACAAGAGGTAGGAGAGTTGAGACAGGAGCAAAAGGCTGACTTCAAAATTCTGCTTGCCTGGCTGAGTCTCTCTCAGCAGTGGAACTGCCGCACTCCTTGTCACTTATCAGTAATATGGTAACACCATTTTTGTTCACTGTGCTGAAGGCTTTTTAATARGAACCATTCTAATTTAGGCAACAATTTATTCAGAGTAATTTGGCYGAGTTGACATGGTAGATGCTTTAGAGGATTGCTCTAAGCAGAGATAAATTGTTGATGCCCTTTTAAAACAAACAAACAARAAAACAATTTCAYCACAGCATTCTCTATGCAAACATTTCTGAGCATAGTATCCTTCCAACCAACTAGGTGGCTGGTTCTAGATGCCAGTAGCCATTCTGACATCTTGTGAATATAGAATTTCTGCATAGACTTAATTAAGTACTCAAGTTACTTATGAAAGCACCAGAGTCCTATTTACAAGCATTTCCAACACTAGATTCTGCAATCTTAAGCTACGTATTTTAATAAGAATAATCTATTTACATAACCTTTACAAGTCACTTACCTACCACAGCTAGCTCAGCCTTAGTGTAATAACACAATTTCTTTCCAAGCTGGAAAAAAAACCTCTTCTATAAAACCAGTTTCAAGGTTCTTCAGTCATTTGTTGATAGGCAGGAAGCCAGCGTATGAAATCCTGTAAGGAGAAGATCACGCTCTCTGACAAATGAGAAGTAAAGATGATTTTCAAGTGTGTTACAGGTTTGCAATAGGCTGTATTTAAGACTACTGGAGACAGTATAGTGCAGCAGCAAATATAATAGCTTAATTCTATTGGAGTGAAACCAGCTTCCAGAACTGGGCAGGTTTTTTTAGTTAAGATGACAGAACAGAATTTCCTCAGTAAACATATGAAATGTCTGCTGAAATAGTTTCCTCATAATTGTTTAAAAAGTCACAGTTAAGTACAACATTTAATGCTAATGCATATTGCATTTCTTAATTGCAACATTAACTCTAGTGCTTTAGGTTGAAATTTTCTTTATTTTCAGATTTCCTATTAGAAAAACAGTTTCCCTCTGTTTTCTCCCCTCACAGGAGGAAGGATCATTCTGATCCTTTTCAGGAAGGTAACAGCCAGTCCTATTTTCAGGTGGGAATTATAAGGAACAAGCTTTAAATATTAGTATTGCAGTATAATATCCAGAGAAGAAGCACATTTTACCAGGTGTGTTGCCCAGTAAGCAGCCCAAAACAAATAAATAAAACCTCCATTAAGCTACTGCAAGTTTGTCATGTAGTAACAATAGATRGGTAGCAGTTCTGGACTGTATATATTGTAACAGGTATGGTAGTGAAAACTAGGGAAAAAAGGAACATGAACTGAATCATCTTTTCCTTTAATGAGATGAAAAACTGATCAGAAATGTCTGAAAACACCACCAGCTACTGCACATGCTAAAGGATGGGCTGTTGTACTGGTCTTAACACAGGGGACAGGATTTGGCAAGCCCCAGGATCTTGGAAAATGCTCAGGAAAGGCTTTGTAAGGACAAGGCTTCTTTTCTTTCTCTAAAGAGAAAGAAATGCCAATGTTGAGCCACTGATTTGTTGTCTCGGATGCTCTTAGTTCCAGCATACGTGATGGTAGGCTTCAAACTATCAATTAAATCCTGCTTCCTCTTACCTCTTCCCAAGCCTTCTCAGTATCAAGGAAGCGCTGATAAAGAATGTTTTATTAAAATCAAAAGCAAGTGAACAGAATCACCAAAGTCAGGATTCCTTTAGCAGAAGTATAAAACTGGTAATCGTGAGGACAGAAGTGAAGACAGCTGGAGTTGATAATTAGAATTTTGGTTGTTTTCTGTCTATGTCAAATGAGTGACTTTATGTAGTGATTCATGTTTTTCTTCACATGGCCTTTGTCTTTTTGCTTTTCTCTCAGTATTATTGACAACATTTGAATTCTAATTTTCAAAATTGACATAATGACTCTATTATTCATAACTTTGATGTCTCATGCATAGTCACACATTGAAAAGTGACTGGGTATCTTTATGCAAGTACCTGGTCTAKCTCCACTGTAGGAAGCTAGGTCCTATTCATCTAATTATGACAGCCTGGAGCTCCTCTCCTAACCTAGAACATCATCTCAGCAGGGTAAATAACCTGAGGGGAGGCTCTGTACTGCAGTAGCAGGGTACATTCCTCCTAAACTGAGCTAGACTACCCTTAAGCTCCCTGTGGCTGCACTTTAACAGGCAATTCAAAACAGTATGAGGGGAACAATGACTAAATGCAGAGCAATCTCCCTTTGCCCAGCATCTTGTTCCTACCCTTGTGCCATCTCTTCTGTGCCAGCACAAGTGTAACTCTGAGGTAAGCCTAAGGGCTAAACTGATCCAGCTGAAAACGAATCCAGTGGGATTTTTTTTTTTACAAGGGTTTAAGTAGATTGCTTCCTGATCTGCTTCACAGTGAAGCCCTGCAAAAGCATTTCTAGTTCAAGGGAAGGAGGGGAAGTGCTGGCCACAGATTCCCAGGCAGAGGAACTTAGAAGTCTAGATATCGAGAAGTATTGCAAAATTGTTATGCCYGCTTCTTCAGCAAGAGCCAAAGTTGCTCTTTTTTCCTCCTCTCAAATTCAGCCAGCCATGTGTTTAGGGAAGGYTGTGGAAACTGAACATATTCCTGGACCTTTTGAAGACATTTGTATAACCCAGTGCCAGCTGGCTCATGTAATGGCTGGAAGGATAAGGCCACTTCACTGAGCTCTGTTTTGTGATTTGGCACCTTTATAAATCACAGATGGATGTCATGTTGGACACAGAAGCACACGGTGCTACTTGGTGCTCAGAAATTATAACGGGGCATTTGCTTTATTCAGTCTTGCTGAGACAGGGAGGGAATCAGAATTTGTGYGTCTCAAGAAGCCCCAGCCTGCAGCCAGATACAATTCCCACCTTCCAAAGACTCGCTGAATTTCTCACCATGTCTAAGAGCAGTATAAAAGTGGCGAGAAACTGATGTGAATCTGTGTGTCAGAGGAGACAGAAAAATAAGCTTTCTTCTCTCCCCGTCATCTAGCTAGCTGGCTAGCTATCAAAGACTGAGATATGGCTGCTGGCTCTCTGTCTGTCAAAAACATTATGGAAGCAATTATGTCACAAGCAGAGCTCTAGCTTTGCTGAATGAATCTGTCAGGGAGAGAACAGACTGACTAGAGTTGTTTTGCACACATCTTTTGGCACTAGAAGAGCGGAAGAGTTTTAGTGGGGTTTTGTGATTTTATTCATTTATTTTAAGGCAGTTTACAGAGATGCGCGGTGCTGATGTCCAGATTTCTGTGTTGTGCAGCTTGTTGTCTGGTACTTTAGCATTAGCTTACTCATATCATTCTCAGAGAAAAGGCCAGCTTTCATTATTACTTTATAACCAGAAGTCTTTTGAAAATTTTGTATGTTTGTCTAAGCTGTCTATCTAATTGGATTGCAGAAAGGTGAAGAAGTCAGAAACCTGAAACATTACTGGTACACATCTTGGCCAGACCAGAAAACACCAGATCAAGCTCCCCCTCTGTTGCAGTTAGTACTGGAAGTGGAAGAGGCCATGCAGGATGCAGAAGAGAAAAATGCCCCAGTGATTGTTCACTGCAGGTAAATAAATATATCTGATTTTCCGGAGCTTCTTTGCAAACAGTGGCAGGCTGCAAATACTGTCRTGATCAATGACAGCAACAATAAGCAATGAGTAATGAGCAATGCCAGAGATGTCTCCAACTACTTGTGAAATGTTGTTGTTGTTTTTAAATTTTAGAGAAGGTAATTTTCTGCTACCAAGGAGTGTTGCAATTAACATAAGGATGCAAAGTTAACTGAACACAGAAGTTGTATAAAGAGTTTGACTGAGGTCTCTCTAATATTTTCCAGGAGAAGTCAGTTGACAGTTAGGCAAACACTAAAATGAATGGTGTAGTGTTATACAATGGGAATGTTTTAGAGGCAYTCTGGTAATCCTGTGCTCTCAAACATCCTTATTGACTATCTGTAAGCAAACATGTTGACTGGTAATAAAATGTTTGTATGATGCTCGTTAACTAAGTTAACATTCATTAACTGACTAGCACTAAGTGGTGAGGGCAGTGAACCATTAGCGAGGCACATGTAATGTTGAGCACTGTAGTCCCTYTGACTCGCGTGGGAGATGAGTTGCCTTCAGCAGAATATGATTATGGTGGTTTTGGCTCTTGGTGATAACACATCTTTAAGGAAAAAAATACCTGTCTTATAATGAAGTTATATTTAAGAGCAACTTCATGTTACAGGTAGAGTAGCAGTTGTACTGTGGTCCTGTGGATAAGGTGCCACTCATGCAGTCTTGGGAAGATTATGGTTTTATGCCTTAGCACCTGCAACTAGGTCTGCAGCAAGGTGCTATTTGCTTTCTGCAAAAATGGAAGCTCATTCCCACCATCGGTATAATACTCCCTTGTACTGTGGTCAGCTCACATTTAGTATCATGTGGAAGATGAGATGCTTTTTTGTAACTTGATTTGCCCAACCTTGTAGACAAGCAATCATGTCTTGATTTTTCTGCGTGCAAAGAGTACTCTGAGGTGTTCAATGTTGTTATAAAACTGCTAGTTATAGTCAGAAAAAGTCAGCAAAGTAGGCGCAGATGGTTTCAGGGACAAAAATCGAAAGTCAGTTAGGTACCTTCGGTGCAAATGCTTGAAGATTGAGATGGGTTCTTACAGAGCAAGACCATTCCCCCAATTTCCATTGGTATGGACCTTCTGTACTACAGATAAAAATGGTTCCACTGTAGCTGTTGCTGAAGTAGTTGTCCTAAACAGCACAAATATGGAGTCAAAGACCTGTTTGTGCAGTCGGAGAGCCCCTGTTGGAACCTGGATAGCAGCTCCCTACGACTCTCCTGTTGTGGCTTGCACGTTTGTTGCTGGTGTTTTTGTGTTACGACTTCAGTGCAGTTTAAACAGAAGCAGGATTTCTTGCAGTTGTGTCAGGTAATTATTCCTGAGGATGTTCATTTAACTATTTAACACATGAAAAGGACTGTCAGCTTTTGCTGCTAGTTCTTTATTAGGTGGTAAGAAGAATTCACAGTTTTGATAGCACTATTTTTAAGAGCAAAATCAATTCTGGTCATTGAACAAGGAATAGGTTAGGTAAAAAAGTGTTCAGGAAAGCAGAAGAAATGCCTTTAATAGTGAATTAGTGTGTTCTACTAGATCAGRAAGTTATGAGGTTGTGGGTCTGAGCAAATTGTATCACATATACATGCTGGTGCTTGCCCTAATTATTTAAGTGAGATTACTTTTACAGTACTTACGAATAAAAATAGCTTTTAAAGAAGCTATTATGGTCAAAAATCAAAGGGCAAGGATTGCTCTCAAACTGAGTCCCACAAAAAAAACCACTACTTTATTGTTTATATTAAAAGAATCAGTTCCACAAGAGAGCAGGAACAGGCTGGGGGCTTCATTTCTATTATGTGCAATAGGTGGTGTGAGTGGCTCACATTTAATTGTCTTGTCCAAGTGAAATGAATATTTTTCTTTCTATTTACAGCTTTGTATTCACAGGCATCCATCAGTATCTGACAGAGGTTGGAGGGAGGAAGGGGATAATGGGGTTTGATTGTTCTTTCTGTRATGCTTATCATTTTTACCATGTGATAAGAAGGCTGCACAACAGTCTGACATCTTTCCTGCCTCTTCTCTTCCCCTCCGTAGTGCAGGCATCGGAAGGACTGGCTGCTTCATTGCCACCAGTGTTTGTTGTAAACAGCTGAAGAGCGAGGGCATAGTTGACATACTGCGAACAACCTGCCAGCTACGGCTAGACAGGTAAGACAGCCTGCTTCCTTTCCAGAAAAATGAAAAGGAAAACATTATTCTCCGCCTAAAGAGAAGCGGGAAGAGGGAGCCAAACAAAGGCATGAGGAGGCCAAGAGAAAATCTTCATGGAAGGAAGTTGTCCTGTTCTTAGTCTGACCTGTAGCTTTGCTTACCTTATGAAAGCAACACATCAAAGACAATAACCCTAGCAAGTGATCTCGGTCCATAGTTGACAAGAAAATCTGCACAGCTGTAAATGCTTGAGTGTAGTAAGGGACAGCTCTGTAATTGTCCCTGTCTTTATCCAGAAGCCCAGGATCAGAGGGTGGGCTGCAGTCAGACTCAGAGCCGTGCATCAGCACGTGGCTCTCAGGAGGGGTTGGGAGACCTGCCCTTGCTGGAGCTGTGGGCGCTGCTGGCTGCCTGCAGCCGTGCAGGGATGGGGAGGACAAGGACATGCATGAGCTGAAGTGTTTGCAAACATAGGAAGAGATGCAGAGGGCTCCAGACATTCAATAGTTTCCATTGAATTTCTTAGTACACCACCCTGAATTTGATTATGAAGTAAACAGGCATGAATTTTGCACCAGAGATGTTATTTTTCCTCTCCCACTGGTTTCAAGTGCCATCAAAACATGTCTCAGTGCTCTCTGTAATGATAATGATAAATGTAGTCAGAGGAAGAGATGTCATGAAAAACATACCAGAGATTTTTCTGAGGGGGAACCTCAACCCCACACTGAACTTGATTTCAGAGGAGCAATTATGCTCAGTGGGAGGCAGCAAATGAAATGCTTGCTGCCCTGCTGAGGCTCTGATAGACAGGGACCTGCAGGAGGCTTGGAGGTCTGGCTCTTTCAGGGGATTTCAAGCCAGACCAGGAAAGGTTTCTTGAGAAATAAGAAAACCAGGATATGAATAGGGAGCGCTGCTTCTTCATGGCCTAATGAAGCTGGCTGGATCTGCAATGTTTTGTGTCTGTGAGTAAATGCAGGCAAATAGCCATACAAATGAAGAAACCCACTTGCAGGAGTGCAGAGTAGAGAAGTCCAATTAAATATACTAGCCTTGCAGGGAGAGATGCACTGGGAGTCGTTTGCAGAGGGAGGAGAAAGGAGATCACAGCCAAGGATACCACAGAGGGGAAGGAAGTTTGCAGGGGTCCCTCTTGTTGCCGTGTGTTTCTCAGGGTTGGGATGGGGTAGGAAAAGTCATTTAGATTTAGAGACGTTTAGGGAGAAYGTAGTCACAGGAGGGAAAGCAGTCCAACACCATCCTTGTGATGAGAGAGAATATTTCCTTTAAGGAGTGGAGGAAAAGAGCAGGACTTGCAGTCTCTTGGAAGTGGTGCTGCCATCCACTGTCCTTCCCACTAAACTCCCACAAAATCTCTGAGTGACTCCAGGAGCAGCATGTGGGGATGAGACTGAGCAACTAAGCAACTGCAAGAAGGAAGATCCTCTCTGCCTCCTTCCCACTCCTGGCTGGTGGAGCTGGCTAGGCAAAACATAGGGAGTGTGGGGAAGCCTCGTCCCCAGGGACTTGGGGAAATAGGGCTGGATATGGACCAGAGCAGGTCCCTCGCCTGCATGCACAGCAGTAGAGGGGCTGACACCTTTCAGGTTGCTGAGGGGCTGAAAGGACAAATGTTTTTCTCCCTTCACACCCTCCTAAATCACTTGCAAAAAGCTGTGCTTTGGGCTCACAACTAGTGGCCTACGCTTGGTCCTAAAATAACCTGTTGTGACTCAGGAGAGAAACTGATCGTTTCTGTGTCCTTCCCATGCTGCTGCGACACGTTTGCTGCCATTTCCCACAGCGTAACTCACATTTGAAAGGTTTCTGTGGCAAACACGAGTGAAACTCTTAATTCTTCTCTTCCGTGCCAAAGCCTGGACAGCAAATGTGTCATGGTGTGCACGCATGTATGTGGGAAGGGAGGAAGCCTCACCAAGCAGGGAGCCAGATAAAAGGGAAAATCATTTTCTGCATGTGTCTGGGACTCGATGGCTGCCCTAGCACTTCTCTTGCTACAGCTGCCGAATAGCCCCGTGGCCCGTGGTGCTGCAGGGGGAGCAAGTGCCGGGGATGATGACTGTTCCCTGCACATCGTGGCACGCAGGGCACCCGGGTAGCTAYGAGCCTGGGTTGTGAGCTGCTTAATAATCACAGTGCATTTCCCACCTCTGCCTAATGCCTGGAGCCTGTCACGGGTCCCTGCCCTTCCCTTTGCCTGGAAGAAAGTATTTCAGGGAACCCTATGACAAAATAAGTGCAAGAGGCTGAAGGAGGAGGCTGTCCAGGTCCTCATCTGCCCCTACTGCTCTGGTAACTGGGCGACCCACACTTGTGAAGCTGGCACACGTAGGCAAGGACAGAAATATGTAGGGTAATGATGCATGGAAAAGCAAGTTACGTTTCAGCCTTTGCTTGCATTTACTTTCAGGTTTGCAGTATTAAAGAGAAGGGCAAGCGCTGAAAGGAAAGCTAAACCAAAGCAGGAATTTTTGTGCTGGGAATCCTGACTGCCGTCCTCACTTCGATTAGTACATTTAGTTACCAGCTTGGTTTATCCTTTCTTAAGATTCCTCTGTTGCAAAGTCTTGCTGGCTTTCCTGGTGCCCTTGCCAAAGCACAGCCTGAGGCGGCCCAGGAGCATCGGTCCCCAGGGCTGGCCTAGCCTTAGAGTGCTGCATGTGGGCCCTTAGAGAGGATGTTGGAGAAACTGCTTCACCTCTTCATTGTCCCATTGGTCTGCACAGAGCTTTGTGGTGGGGACCTGTTCWTGGTGCTTAGGCAGTGCTTAGAGTATAGGCCCCCATAGCACAAATGCAAACAGTGTGTGTTGGGGGGTCCTCAATGGCTTGAGGCCTCTGCTAGGGAAGATGAAGGTAAAGCCCATTGCTGTTCTGACACCTTCTGTCCCCTGGGGAGCTGAGACTTCCTGAGGGGAGCTCAAGGTTGCTGCCATCAGTGGGTGCTTCTCCCCCCATTCCTCAGGGCTTCAGAGCAAACCTCCCATGTGTAACCCCAGTTTCATGTTAGCTGTGCCATCTGCTAGRTGTGACCTGCATGTAATAAGGCTGCTGTCTCCCTCCCGTTTTTTTTTCTTTCCTTTTCAGGGGAGGAATGATCCAGACTTGTGAGCAGTATCAATTTGTCCATCATGTCATGAGCTTGTATGGAAAACAGCTTTCTAGAGCAGCAGAAGAATAACTGTTCATGATATTCCTAAAGTCAAGACAACTTTTGACTGCATTCATATCTATTTCAGATCTGATAAGAGATATGTGGTAACCTGGCTGTCTTAGCTGGAGAGAGAGCRAGAGAGATTATTTTACTTTGATATTGCTTTTATGCTCTTGTTTGCATTGACATTTAAGAGCTGAGGTATGCCTTGTCTTAAACACTTGTGACAGGACACAAACTTCACCAAAAAAGGCTTATTAAACTGTAAATAAGAACAGTAGCTTCATTTGTTACAAAATCCAAAAAGAAAAAGCAACCCACTGTCTTCAGTTTGCTGTTTTTAAAAGATAATTGCTAATATATCCAAAAACAGTGTGAAACTTTTTGAATTGTCATGCTGAAATATGTACCGTATGTTGACTAAGCTTGAAAGTAACTTTTTGCCTCTGTTTTTACATATAAGATTACCGAATACTGTGTGTATCGTAAACCTTTGGAGCCTTTGCGTTGAAAGATTCAAGTAGATACACGTTGAAGTGAAATTTCACACCTCATGTTTGCTTGTTTGGGATTTTTGTTTGTTTTTAAAAAASTCACCCCCGGGATTACCAGAACTAAAAGGAAAGAATTATTTCACTGACATGAGTCAAATTCTCACCTGCAATTCCTACCAGCAACGTATCCCAAAATGATAAAACCTTGGGTGAATCTGCGCTTAGTAGAAGTTAATGTGAACATAAACTCTTTGTGCTTTATCTTTTATTTGTTAGTATTTTGCAGTCTCAGACTGCGTCCATTTTTACATAGACCACAATTCTAATACTCCTTTTCCTTCTGAAATTTCAAGTTTGAAATCAGGTGAGAAAATTTGACTTGATTTCACCTTTATTGAAAGTGCAGTGGTAAGATGGTTTGTGCTGAATTTGAACTCGTTTCAAAGCTTTGAGGCTGACTGCATGCCCAGTGCACATTAAAATTAATGAGACTAGAAATGTAAATCCTGTAGGCAGCTTTAGGAAAATCTCATCCTGAGTGTGTTGACTGCTTTTTAATAAATYTGCCCTCAAACCAAATTTAGACAATCATTAGCACCTTCTAATCGCTTGTCTGGGCAACAGTATTTCCTTTTAGATAATACAGACTGCTGCTCCTGCTTTTCTTTTTAGACCTCAGTCTGGCTGAAGACTGAAATTTATATCTAATCCTTAGAGGTAAGCACATGTTTTAATTCTTTATTGAGCAAAGAGAGGGGTATACAGAAGCTTTAACAAGAAAAGATGAGTGTTCCATGAATAGAAACCATAATGATCTACTAAAAATATTTTTACTTCTCTCTTTTTTGTAGTAATAATCCACACCCACCACTTTTATTAGTGCAGGAGATGGAGAATTTATTGCAATTGCTAATCAGGAGGGGGTAAAACAGCACGTGGAACAGCAAGGACTGATCCTGCTTGCACTGAGGGTTTGCCTTTGCCTTCAGGAGACGCAGGGTAGGGCTAGAAATGTTGTATCTACAACTTGGTCACTGTGGGGAAAGCTTCCCAGCATTTCAGTACATACCTTTTGTGTTTATTCTGTATCCATGAATCTGTTTAAAAAAAAAAAATCCTGTCGGCAGGATTTGCATGAATGTGTGGCAAAATGTGTTATATTTAAACCACTTGATTTTATTGCTGTATTTAAAATATTTCCTTCAGTGAGAAGCTAGCAGGAAGAACTGGCATTCTTTTTAAAAATACTGGCGGTAGTCATTAAATAGAGCAATAAACTTAAGCTTTTGAGCATAACATGACTGTTAGTTTTATGTAAACCTTGCTAGCTGCCTTGTCCCCATTGCTCCAGATTCTCTCAGAGAGGTAATGCTCTTCTCAGCACCCTTTAAAAAGAGCCAAAACACCACCAGTGTTCTGAATAATACTGTAAATGGGACTCCCTAAAAATAGTATTTTCACCTGTTCTGTGCCCTTCAGTGTCAAACCTGAGTCAGTGAATAAAATGACTTGTTCTGTCTGAGTTGGCTGTGTATCTAATAAAGAATATTTGTTGATGATGGGTAGGCATGCACACGTAGGGGAGAAGGTGAATGTGTAAGTTGCCTCCTCTGTAAGAAGGCTTCCTAGAGGAGAGTTGCCCTCTGATAAGCAAGATATGAAGGTATCTGAAATACTGCTTTTGAGGTCCTTGCAAGATCCTTAGCAGGTATTAATTGGCATTCCATCACTGACTTGCATAGGAGTGAATGTTTTATATAGATGAAGGGAATCGAGCTTGTCGCCCACTCCCAAATATATTTTCCRAATATAGACTGTCCTGAGAGAGCAGTCTCTGACTTGAAGCTGCTTTGCATCACTCGCTCATCCAAAGCAAGTATCAGCCTAGTTGCACTGTGTGGCTACAAGAGCTAAACTGCCACTGCCTCACACCAGACAAGAACATACCACTTAGTCTGGAACAAAACATCCAAATGCTTCTTGAAGTGTTTACTTTGTCTAGTAGAGACAATGAAGTTGAAGATAATCCTCCTATTTGCTCTTTGCTCTTACTGTAATTAATATAATTAACATATTTCTCTCTCTTTGGTTTCTTTTTCCAGAATTTAAGGTCTGAAGGACATGAGATGGGCTGTTCTGACCACTCCTGACTGCAGAGGAAGTCTTAAGAAGTGTGTTAGGATTAGCAGAAAGGAGCCCTACCTGTGCAGAAGCACTTGAGATGAGTRGAGCTGCTGCTTCTGCTTTTCAGTAGGTTTGAAGCTGAACTAACTAGGAAAAATCTATACTGTGCATCTTCCCAGCACCTCTCTTTACAAGGGACTTGCTTCATTTTAAGAAAAGAAAAAAAAAATCCTAGCACATGTTACCAACCCTCTCCACATCCCTGCTCAGGCCTCTTTGTACCAGAGACTACAGCGTTAATATCTGCAACACAGTTGTTTCCCAGAGGATGAAATTCCTCTCTCTGGGTAGATGAGCATATAATGAACCTGAGATGACTTTATTGGGAAGGCTCAAGAGTTCAAGAAAGAACTAACCAGGATCTTGGTTCCCAGCATTTACCTGCCACACATACAGTGGAGGGAACACACTACTTGCAGACAGGCAGTCTTAGAAATATGTGGTTTGCTTGGGGAGCTGGCAGGTTTTAGGAGCACATCTTTTCCTCCCTGACCCTAGCTGGAAACAATTTTAAACGCAGGGCAATACTATACTTCAAAACRTTAAAATCACCACCGTCTCAGAAGCAGTTTCCCTCTGCTAGTTTGGCACTGATCACAAGCAAAGGAGTTAGTGTCCTTCAAAATGCGTAGATCTAAATGCTTGTAAGATGGTCCCCTGTACTGTTTTAGTGCTGTTGCACTTGTATCAGTGATTTAAGATTGCTAAATACACAGACTAGGGTMTCTAATCCATTTTTCTCTCAAGGGCTCTCTTAGTCTATCAGAAAAAAACACCATCTGAAGAAGAGTGACAGACTTTCTACAGAGAGTGAAAGCCCCGATTAAAGTAATTCTCTCAGTAGCTGCTATTATGGGCTGACTTTCCAGAGATCCCTGTCCATGTTTCAGTATCTGTATGATATGGTGGGACCTGGAAGTGGTTGAAACTGCTGCCTATTGAATTTATTAAATAAACAAAACCAAAGTCATTTAAGAGAGGTGAGAAATGATCACCAAGGACTGACTTGAGCAGCAAAACAGGATTTGTTGAATGCTCAAATGTTTGAAACCTGACCCTAGTACTTTGTGGTTGTTGTTGTTGTTATTTTTAAATGAAAAAAAAAAGTCTGGTAAATTGTTTAATAGTCTATCTTTGGTGAGAGTTTTGCGAAAGCATGACATAAAACCTTTATAAAAGGAACTAGCACTTAAAAAAAGTGAGGTTTGAGAGGATTCATTGTTTGCTTTAATTAAAGAAGGCATCCCTTTAACGTACCGAAGGTTTGTCCTTTTATCCTCATGCTTGAGGTTTTATCATCCTGTTATTCCAGGAAGAGAAGCTGCTGAAGTCACTTTAATGGATGTAACTCTGTAGCCCACAAGAGGCCAGTGTGTGTTTAAAGTTGGCACTACTCAAAGCCCCGTTTGTCCTGTGTGGCAGGACCTAAGCATCTTCCTGAGCCTGCAACAATCTAGAGGACTTCATATCAGCTGAGGGACATGGAAGGGTCAGTAATGGTCTGAAAGCTCTTCTCTCATAGCAGGAATTGACCACAACCTTAGCATCTGCAAGAAAATGTAAAATAGATATAAGCAAATACTGCCTGTTATCCCCATACTTTGTGTTCTGTGGCTGTAACTAGGTYGTATGGAAGGTGGCTCTCGGATACTGATAACTTTCTTTTCCCATGTCAGCTTATCCTGCTGTTTTTGCTTGCTGTCTGGAAGGTAACCAGACTGAAGGATAACAAAAGGTAATAGCACAACATATGACAGACAAACAAACAAACAAAAAAACTTAATGGTCATTCCTAGTTCTTGGGTGGCACAGGCTTTTGGACGTGCGTCTGTAACCTTTTCCTGTTCAGAAAATTTGTGACCAAGAATTAAGATTTTGATCATGTAAAGGAAATAGGAACAAAGAAGATTCCAGTTTTAAGGTGAAAGGAGGAACTGTTAGAATGGTGGGTGGGTTTCTAAGCCTTGTCACTGTGAGCTGCTTAGGATTTGAAAGATCTGAGAATTAAGTCCCAAAGCATTGCAGAGGACTGGGCAGCAGAGCTGGGGAGTAAAGAAGCATTTTGCAGGTGTTTTCACTTGAGCACTTGGTACAGCTGGGATGGAGTTGTCCTCTGGTTCTGTCTCAGGCTGTCTCCAGTCCCACTGTGTCATGCACCTGCTGGAGCCCTTAGTTAAGGAAAAGCACAATTAAATGAATAAGCGGATATAATCCAAGACATTATTGCAGTTTCTGTTGACTTTCCTGATGTGAAATGGTCATGGTTTTCTGTTAACCACAGAGAAATGCCTTGATTCTAGTGAGATGTTTGCATGGAGCTGTGAGAAGTGAGTGTTCAGGGCCAGCTCCTTATTCATCAGTCTGGTTGGAAAAATAGTGTTTGACGTGAACTCAGGAGCTAGTTTTCAAGAAGAAAATAAATGTTGCTCATTTAGGTAGAAAATAGATTGCTGTGGAGTCTCTTGAAATAACAGTTAAAACATTTTGCTCAGTTATATGGATTCATAAAGTGATAAACACGACCTTGTGAAACACTCCACAAGCCTTTGCTCATCTGCCTTATCCTGATGCACATGGAATTGCCAGCCCAAAGCGGGAGATGACAGCGGGTTGGAGAGGGGAGCCCAGCAGGTCGCCCGTGCGCCTCAGGCAAACATGGGAGCTGCTGCTCTGCCCAGAGCTCTGCCGGGCCACGACAGCGCCCACGGTGCCCACAAACTGGGTTCGAGATGCAGCGCTCCACCAAAGTCTCCAGCCCCCAAATACAATGTGTCCTTCAATCCACCCAAGTTGTCAAGGCAAGTAGCATTCCTGTTCTTGACGTCCASTGCTTTGTTTTGGGGTGACTAGAACACAAGTGGGACCAAAAGAAGGTAGGGCTTTCCTGTGTAAAACTTTTCCTGACTGATATGGGGATGAGAAGCTTGTCTTGAACCCCCCAGGGCATAGGCAGGACTCAGCAACTTTGTACAGAGTGGAGTCAATCTTGATTGTACTTTTGATGCATGTGGTTTTGAGACCTTTTTTGAATAAACTCCTACATTATATCATGAAAGCAGCCTGCAGACCCTCGTGCAGCAAGACTGCCCAGTTTTCCCATCATATAGATAGGTGATAACACTGAGGTGTAGAGGCAGAAAATTACTTGTCCTTGTATAGAGTCCTGCAGGAAGACTGGAAAGAAGAATTGATCTACAGTTTCTGTGGGTAGATAGCACTCCACCTGCTGCACAAACCTTGTCCCAGGATTTTAATTCATCAGGGTGATAATTCTTTGTATAACTATGGATGTTTCGGGGCTTATTTTTACATCCCCTCTTTTCCCAGTAAAAAAGCACTAGTACTGCTAGACTAACATGTCTGTCTTCTTTCCCCAGCAGAAGTTGGTTCTGGAAAATCTGCCATCCTGGAGTCGCTTGGTGTGGTGACAGGCTCCTTTGAAGACCTGGCTGAAGGAAGCCTCCCAGGCAGATTTTGCGGAGAAGACTCATCCGGCCACAGCACCAGAGGGTGAGAAAGACCGTGTCTGGTGAAAGCCAAAGCTGGCTCCTTTTGCAARTGCATCTAGCCATATTCACCCGCCCCAGGCAAGTGAATGCAGCCTGCCACCTTCCACAGCTGGAATAGTGAGAGATAGAAGTGGGCGCAAATGCCAGACACCTGTATCTGGCCTTTCTGTTTTTAGAGATTTGTCTTGTACCAGTCAAAATCAATAGGAAAGCTGCTGTTCATTTTAGCTGCTGGATAGCAGTACTTACTGAACTTACTGATCCAAATATAGCAGTCCCTGCTTATGCAAAACTCCTGATCGAATGATTTGACTGAAGCCAGAATAATATGACCTTTAATGCATTAGTAAATACACTCTCCCATCATGTGTAAGCTCTTCCATATGGAGAGATCTGRGGGCTTTCCTATGTGACATAAAGATCATATGAGTCTTCATTATATAGCATTAAAAATCACAAATCCTTCTTTATGGTGTGCAGAGACTTGTAATGAACAAATTTACTTCCTTTTGGGTRTCATATGGGTATCACTCTGGAATAAAAGTGGCAGTAAGTACAGTTAAGTAAATAAAGTAAGGTTAATATTTCCTCTATAAAAGCAGACAGGGAAAGAAACTGTACTTTTAAAAATTCTAAATAGAAAAAGTCCTTAATAGCCTCTGATTCCATTTCATTCATTCATTCATTTGTTCCAATACTTCTTCTTGAATTTTAGGAGATAAAGTGATATTCCAAGCTAAAATGAAAGATAACCCAAAGCTTGATGTAACATGGAAAAGGCAGAGTGGGATAGCAGGGAAAGAAAGGTCCAGGTGTCGTAACAGCATCAGTAAGCAGTGCATGTTAAAGATAACACTTCCTGTTTTCTTTTTTCTTGCCATTAGCTTATTTTTTTTGTTCCCACAAWAAAAAACATAAATATATATTTATATATAAGCACTACAGTATTCCTCAGCAGAAGCAAAAATATTCCAGTTTGTGCAGTACTGCATTTCCAAATACTTTTTTCTCTGTGGAGAATGGTAACTATCATTTGTTTGGGGATGTGAGGTTTCTTTGTAGCACGATAACATCTGCAGACAAAAATTTGAGGGCCAAAATTGCCAACTGAGGGCCAAAGCTGCAATCTACTTTCATTTCCTATGTGTCTTTGCAGCATTCATGACTCATTGGCCTTCTTGGGCTCAGAGTCATCTAGAATTGTGCAAGTCGGACACCAAGCCACAATTACCAGAGCACCCAGGTGAAAACACCTTCAGTGAAATAGCAGATTTTAGTTGGAAGCCAGGTTATTACACGTAATAAGCCAAATTCCCCACTGACGTCAGTGTGGCAGGGCTGTGAGTCGCTGCTGAATTTGGATTGGTTTTGATGGAAGAGATGGGAATGATAAAATGTTCCTTGGCACTGTCTTTTTGGTAGAAGTGAGTTTTGCTTAAACAATGTCACAGKACGTGGGGGTGAGTAGATGGGCCTGGGCACAATGAAAACTCATCTCCTTTTTCACTGCACATGTTTTCCTTCAACCTACCACATGTGTGATTGCTATTTGAAAGAGAATTGGCCATGTTACCTGCAGCAAACTTGCTTTGAATCAATGCTAAGTAAAAGTGATGCTACCTGCCTGCCTTATCCCCTAACTTTTGCTGCAGTAGGTCCATCTTGTAAAGATGAGTGCTTCCRGAATGTCCCATGTTCATGCTGCCACTGCTGAACAGTCTGTTCTCCTGGATGATGAGAAGGTGGAGGAGCCGTTCCTCAAGGATGGCCAAGAGGTTAAACGCCCAGGGGGTTGTCAGTATAACGAAGGGTTGCAAAACCCTAGCGGGAGGGTYTCCTCTATGTGGTGGGATTTGGCCTGCTCTTGGCATAGGGCTTTTTGTTAGGGGCAGACAGACAGGAACTGGTCTAATCCTTCTTGGATTAATGCAGCCTCAGTCCTGCCGAGTTTTGGCCTTGGATCTTGCCTTGTTCAGAACTGCCYTTCCTAGTCTCCTGTCAACATGCTTCCCATACTTGCTAACCCGTGTCCTTAGCCTGTGGACTCACACCTTTCCTGACAGRTTGGCTTCTCACCATCCACCTCTCTCCTTCTCTTTGCTTTTCAAGGGCATCAGCAAACACATCCTGTGCATGCTGGTGCCCGGGCACGAGCACACACTGCCCACGTGGCTGCTGCAGGYTGAGGCACAGATCCCCCTGTCCAAGCAACCCCCAGAATGGGCTTTGTCCATAGAGCAGGAGCTGGAAATCCTGACTCCTTTGCCATYCCGGATCAGCTACAGGTGGGGATCTGGGGCAGGGGTGGGAGCTGGTGCTGGCTGCAAGGCAGGTTGCTTCCTACCTCAGTTGGCCTGTCCCATTCCACATGGGAAAGGACAAGGGTGAAGCAGGAGCTGTCTCCAGACTCGCTGCTGAAGAACAGGAAGGAGCACAAGGAGAGGTGCCCGTTCAGCRCCACAGAGACGGGAGCTGCCAATGCAGGTCCCTGCAATGCCCCTTCTCCTCACGCCGTTCCAGGGTGCTCTTTTGCTGCCTGTGTGTTGGCAGGATCAGGGCTTCACCAGGTCRCCTCACCTGGGTTGCTGCTGTTCTACGTGCCTGCCCACCTGCAGCAGCAAAACCTTCTTTCTCCTCCTCCTTTAACCACGAGGGAGACCAGAGCGTTCGTGCTGGCTGATGTGAAGTGTCTGGGTTTCTGTGCTGATAAATCAGCAACGGAGATTGTTGGCCTGAGATTTTACTTGTAATGTTGCTGTCGTGAGCAAGAAGAMGACACATCTCTGAAATGACATATAGACGGATCACTGTGTACATTGCTTGGCTCTTGGMAGCCAGATGGCGCCAGATGGGCTTTCACACTCGTCTGCAGCAGGGAAAGGAGCCTCTTCCTGCCGGGACTGAATCCGGGCGACAGGAGAGGCACCGGCAATGCTCCATGCAGCAGGAGGAACCGCTCGCTCCGGATGCCCTGGCTGCAGCGTGAGGATACACATTTATCCCTCCACAGCAAACAGGCATGGAGTGCTGGTTTGTGGGGTTTTGTTGTTGTTTGGTTTTGCATTTGGTCTAAGGAGGGCTGGTTTTCTTGCATTCAGAAATATTTTTGACAGCTGTCTTATGAAGACTGKCATTACAAAAATATCCAATGTGTGACAAAGTAGTAGCCAATTTTGATTCCATGATTTTTATCAGAATCATCTATATCCAAATGTGCTTTAGGGAAGAACAGCCCAAATTTCTTCCTGTCAGGTCTTGCAAAACTCAGCAACTGCCAGGAATGAAATCCCCAGGTGCTGGGGRGTTGTGGAGCTTTTTGTGCCTGTCCTTTCCCAGAGGTTCTTCCAATGCTGAGCCGAGCAATTAAAGGAGGTCAGACAACTCCCTGTACAGGGAACAGGACTGAATCAAAACACCCTGAAGACTTTGTAAGGCCCTGAAGACTTTCACAAAGTACAGAATTTCAATATTAAAAACATTAAGGAGAACACATGAGGACAAGCTCTAGACCACTCTTGCAGGGCACTCACAAACACGTGGCAAATGTCAAACTATATTTGCAGCTGCAAGTGTCTTCTGTTCTTTCCAGATCCTCCTGATACTGAAGAATCCTGAAGGGAAAGCCTCCCCATTCCGAGTCCCTGCTGTCAACYCTGAGGACCTCAGCAAACCACTGGAAACAGGAAAGAGAGTTGCTGGAGAAGCCCCTGGTAAGCACGTGAGCATCTCGGATGTCTCTTCTTAATGGGGTTTCACGGGCCTGCTTCCTATCACTTATGTCCTCTTCTGCCTTGTCCCTTCCGAAAAGAATACTGTCCCCTGCACTGCAGGGGACAAGTTCCAAGGACAGGAGCTTAGAAGCAGTTCTGTGTTTGAGCTGATGGCCAGGATCAAACAAATAGCCAGGTGCAAGTAACTGCAAGTGTAGCCTTAGAAAACCCTCAACGTGGACTGTCTGCTCTCTTCTGCAGGAGAGACCTGCAGAAATGAAATGTAGCTCTCAAGAAGATATTGTGAAGGAGGTGAGAAGATTATGAAAAAGTGAATACTTAAAAACATCTTGTTTTGCAACCAAAAAAACCAAAACAAGTCAGTCCAAAACTAACTAGGTTGAAAACAGCTGCTTGACTATGTCCTGGGAGTTAAAATTTGGGTACCTCTTGTTCCTAATTTTTCTTTATGGGCTAATTAAATTGCAACTTGAGAGGTTTACAGACCCAGTTCCTCCACATAGGAGCATATCGCAGCAGATAGACTCCAAACAGAGTCTGCTTTTCCATCCTGAAGTGGAAAGGGCTGGACGCTCCCAAGCACAGGGTGTAGGACAGCAAAACACTCGGCACCACTGCAAGTCTTTTCTTTTTTATTATTTAGGTACCTGCYCATGGATGTGGGTGCCTGTTTTCAAGCACTTAGGCTTTTGCATTCCTCTAGCTAAATCTGACTGCTTTTCCCTAACTTAGACCAGAACAGAATTAAACAAGTGACTGTTTTTGTTGTATCCATCAGATAGCAACCATATGATCTAGGCTGAGYACAGCTTGTGTAACACATGGGAGTGTTCGTAGCAGCAGCAGCATCTGACTAACAAGACTTTTGCTTTTCCTCTTCTGTTAATATTTTGGTTCTTTCTTGGAATGTTTCCACTGTCTCATTCCAAATGTTGGACTATCATTATTAATTTTCACTCATACTATCAGTTTAATCATACATAGTATAGRTATGAGCAATATTCAATGTAAATAATGGAAATAGCTTTAAGAAAAATGTTTTTGGTTCCTGAGTTTGTGTTTAAAATTGAGTGGAGGATGCAACTTGCTTGAAATCTGTTTTGAAAACCTTGTCCACTCTGAGTTTATTGCTTCATGGGAATTCCCATTAAAGCCAGCAGGGTAGTACATAAAGACATGTTTCCTCAACTTACATGAAGACACCAGGTTGTGGACCATAGTTTAGTGGAAAGCATTGTAATAGCCAATGTATATATATATTTTTTCTCATATTATAGTTGTTCAGTCTAATTCAATCACCTTCTTCTGTACTTGGGGAGAGATGTGAAGATGGGGCAAAGCACGACAGAAGTGCAGGCCAGGCCTAATTATGGGGCTCCCTAAACATCCATTTTGTTGYTCTCCAGGAAGGTTTGCATGAGGAAGGTCCTTGTGGTTTATGTCAGCACAGAAGCAATTTTTTAAAAAATAGTGATCACTCAGGGATAYTTTTATGTGTGATTAGAGATTTGTGTCGTTGTGACATTTGTCTCTCCGGATACCAAGTTCAAAGGGGATGGTTTGCTGGATGACGAATGAGTTCCACGCGCTGGCTGTGACCCACACAAGCCTTGGACATCCCAGCAGACCCTCAAATTCTGCTGCTGCAAAGGATCCCATCAGGATGTTCCCTTTACCAGCTAATGTCTGACTTTCTGAAGATGGATGGTACGGCCAGGTCTGTGCACTCGCGACTGATGTCTCAAGGACTGTGGCAAATTCTAGGCTGGCTCAMAATAAGGAACTGCCTCGTGTTCACAGCTTAACTAAAGGCTAAGGAAGGCCTCTATCTCTATAGATGTCATATTTCAGAAACTTAAAATATAATTGCATTATTCACATTAAAATTAAAGTTGTTATGATAAGGATGTGATAAGGAATTTCCCTCTGAGGCAGCTGAGTGTATGCAAAGAAGAAACACAGATCAATGTGATAAAGATGCTCTGAGGTCTACGTTAGTTGAGCTTTGCCAAAGGCCATAATGCAGTCATAACACAAAGAAAGAAAATGTTTCCTTATGCAGTATGTCACCATGTCCTCTGCTGCAGCCCCTCACCAGCTCTAATAAAAGAAATGAAAACTCATGCAGAATTTATGGAAGATAAATAGATAGAAGATGTGGAAATACCTTAAGTTTTTGATGGTAGGAAATCTTGTAATTGTTATAGGAGTGGGCCTCAGTTGTGGCACACAATTTAGAAAAAAAAAGTAATTTGGCAACATATGTAAGCTAGTATAAGTAGGAGAAAAGAGAAATCTTTTCTTGTAGCAGATGTCTTGTAGATTCTAGTAGATGAAAGCCTTTAGGTTAAAGTTACTTAGATGAGATAGCATTCAGGTTCCTTTAAATCAGAAGATAATGCAAAAACAACTTAAAGCCTGAAGCTATGATTCTCCTCCTACTTCAAGACTTATATTACTGCAAAATAAGCCTAGGAGAATATGTACTCTCCATTTACACCATATTCCTCATGACTCTGTATCTTCATATAAGTATTTCTGTGCCTTTTTTTTTTAATATTAGCTGAGACTTTTGAAGCAGAATATGAATTTCAGTACCCAGGTGCCTATTTGTTTGATTCAAAACATGCAGGTCTTTTTGAAGATCCTATCTTCAAAAATGCTCTTCTGGACTCCTAACTAGAAGTTTTGAAGGTGGACCTAAAGGRCAGAAAGCAAGATCTGTGTTTTCAGAAGTGACTCTTCATTAGGAGTGTGTAAATCTCTGTGTACATAAGCTTTCAGGATCATTAACAGGATATTGCAAGCTAATTAAAAAAATCCACTAATCGTGTAAGCCATATAAGACAGGTTATGGGAAATACACCCAAGAGCTCACAAGCGAGCTAGGAAGAGGTGCAAACAAGCTGTTAGTGCATAGACACCTCTCCCCAGCACAGGTGGGGAATGAGTGCTGGTCACTGCTCACAGAAGGTGCCCTTTCCACCCTTAGTTCAGGTAGGCCCTAGGTCAAAAGCTGCTAGGACTTTTCAGGAATGGCCAGCTTTGGAACAGCTCTGCATATTTGTCTGTTTTAAGAGCTGTTTTCTCTGTTTTATAGAATTTGTTCAGGCCCTTCCATCCCAAACCTTGTGAGCTGTGTGTTTTGACAGAGACGACTCTGCTGTTCTTCACATGTGCCTAGGCCTGAGGAGGGGCCTGATGCCTGGAGGAAGCTCCTGGCGCTCCGATGAAGGGTCACTGCAGTGTCCCAGCTCTCCTGCTGTCTCGGAGCCTCCAGGACTGGTGAAGAGCCTCCATGGGGCTGATTCTTCCAGCCCCAGCATTTCCTTAGCCTGGGAGGAGCTGGASCGGGGAGATGTGTCCTCAGGATAACAGACTAGATGTTTGTCTAGATCTCAGTCTCTGGAATCAGCTACACTGTGAGAAGGCTGCAGGAGAGGCAGAAAATACATTCTTCCAAATCTGACCTGGGAACAAAGCTGATGTTGGATAAACAGCGGAGTTACASGAAGGAATTCCAGCAGGGCCACCTCCAGGTATGACCTGCAGTATCCTCAGCTAAACTGTACAAGTTCAGCAAGTTTAGCTCTACCTTCCCAGTCATTTTTTCCTCAGCTTTTAARATGTAGCATAAGACACACAAGGACTCGGGAAGGGAGAAGCTGAAGTGAAAAATACTGGTCCCTAGAGAATGACAGAAGGACCACAAACACAAGGAACCAATACTTAAACAGGCTCATTAATTCTTAAGTTTTCTGTGACCAACCACTAATCTGCAGCTGGTTGAGGAAGTCCCAAACACGGTGAGTAAAATGGAATTGCAGCCTGGATGCAGAAGATGAACTGGCTTGCTACGTTATCCTGAAAGGTGATGTTAGTGCTGCCATGTGGCTTAAAGCTGCAGAGAAGGTGAGTGTCCTGTCCTCCTTCATCCAGTTGTTCCCTGCACAGGCTAGTCAATAACAAGGATGTCTSCCTACAAGCAGTCCCAAAGAAGATGGAACAAACCCAGGCTCATCAAAGCAAAGCTTCCACCCAGTTTGCCAGTTTGGGGCAAATCAAAGTTCAGTTCATCTTAGTAGTTAGATCTGAGCAAAACTTTTCTGCTTAGTCTATAACTGTTTTAATAAAACACAGACTGTGAATTAGCATATTAACAGGTTATGCATGTATTTCCCCAGAAGTCTATCTGCATATGATACAGGTCTTCTAATTCCATTAATAAAAGTAATAGATGACTACAGAAAAAAAAGAAGTAATAAACTAAGAAGTTTTAAAGATGTCAGATAGATGGCTTGGAGCCATTTATATCTAACCAGCAGCTTTTGGTCCCTCTACCTAGCTGAGTTCTTTCTGTTCTGTGTGTGCTGGTAAGAAAGAGCATTTCCAGTRTCCTCCAGACTTCAGTCGTGTAGAGCCTCTCTAAGCTGGAGCTTTTCAAGTTTGAAGTAACTTGAGGAAATCCTGTGACGTAAGTCCAAGAAAAAMCACAGGGAACAGCAGGAAAAGCCAGGTTATCTGTGTGTGTTGGTACATTCCCTTGGTCACAACCTGTGTGTCTCCAGGGAGGACATGAGCAAGTATGAATTGATGATCTGGTCTTCATCCTAAATAACAAGTTCCAAGATAAATTTGCACCACCTTGGGAGATGGTGGGGGAAATAACTTCAGAGGATGAGGAGGGTATAACAGCTCTTTTCTGAGGATGAGGTGTGAATGGAGAGTTTGTTCTACAGTGCTACAATCAGGACCCAGGGGATTTATCTGCTGAGACCCCAGGCCAATGCAAGACAAGATACTGATCTGTGAAAATGTCTGCAAATAGATAGTGACAAATTTTAAGACTGTTTCACAGTGGACAGTGGAAAAACCATCTGTGTAGCTCCCCATCATTCCCCCACAGCATTCTCTAGCCTATTAATGCYGCGGAGCAGCCCCAGCGGAGCAATATCCCTTCCTTTCAGAGATCTTCTGCTTGCGTTTATAATTGGGTGTAATTTAATCACACTTTTCTAAAGCACCTTGAGAGCCCCAAATCCCAAAGYACTTTACAGTTTAATGGCATTAGTGAGAGAAATCATCAATGTATCTCTGTGGAGCAAAAACCCAACACCTTATTTACAGACCGAGGAACAAAGAAATTAATTGCCTGCCTGCAGCTGCGCAGCAAGTTAATGGAAGAAGATTTCTGATTCCTCCTTCTCATGCTTTTCAGTTTGCATTTGTTTACCTAGGGCAGAGACGCTTTGGCCAGATGTTGAGATGAATGCAGTGTTGCTTATTCCTGCTTCCTTGGTGAGTTTTCCATGGTGGGGAAAAAAGGCCCAGGGCAGGAGATGTCAGACCCAGGTCCTTCAGATCTGCACAAGAGCAGGAGACTCCCTGCCCCGCTGGGGCTGGCAACGTGTGGTGTATGTGGGGCAGACACTTGTAGGGTGCAAAGCAGCTCGTCGTGTCCCTGTGCCCTCAGCAGGGCGTTTTGGCCCTGCGAGCCCGGCTTCGTCGGCAGCCCCTGCGCAGCAGCCGCCCCACGCGAGGGCAGCGCTAAGGCCATGGCCAGCGGCCACGTCTGCCCGCTCCTCGTCCCGCCTTGTGGTCCCCAGGACAGCAGTGACTGCTCCGACAGCGCTGAGAACAAGACACAGAGAAGAAGCGCCGTGCAGCCCCAGCTCGCTGCTGCGGGCTCAGCCCTGCTGACCGAGGCTCTGCTTCCTGGCACGGCTTTCACAGGCTCTCGATGTCAGCTCTGTGAGTGTGGTTTGCACCCACACTTCTGCTTTCCAAGGCGGACACACGTGCCTGGCTGGGCTTGTGCACCCCATACTGGAGAGGAAGCACGTGCTCAGTCCATGGGTACCACAAGCTGGAGCTGCAAGGGCCACAGCTGGTAAGAAATTGCTTTTGTGCCTGAAAACAGGCCTTACTCTGGCTGTGTCTTCCTCTCAAGTCACTGGGACTTGCCTTCAGTCACCCGAGAGCAGGAAGGATCCCGTTGGCTGGTGTCCTTGGCTAGCAAGTGTCAGGAATTGCCCAAGATGGCAAACGGGGCCGTTTCTCAGTCCCGAGCCAGGGCTGCCCTGTGCCCATGGCTGCCTAGCCCCTCCGAGCCATCAACTGCTGCATTCTGACAAGAGCCTTGTGCTTTTTCCGTGTGCACTGCAGACAGTGTGTTCTGTAAATCTGTTCCTTTATGAAATGGGATTTTTGACAACRTTGTAGGAACAGTCATACAAATTTCCAAGATACAAAAAGAGGAAGTGGGAAATCAGAGTTGCACATTCCTCTTTCCCTATCTCTTTTCCATGCCAGAAGCTCCCATCTGGTGGCTTTAAGCCAGGCTGTAACACAGTAGCCTGGTTCTAGCAGGCTTGGGTTGGTGCTGGAATGTGGACATGACACGTGGTCTTCCCACGTTGTGATTGATTCCCAACCTTAGGACCTGGGTATTATTGGCCCTGTGGTAAGTAGGGCAGTGCTCTGAACGTCTGCTGGGGCCTGAGGGCTGCAGCTGCCCCTGCCGAGCAGGTGCCTGGCCAGGAGGCTCTCCCGGTTACATGCTTGGGAGGGGGAATTCTCCATGCTGGGCTGTGCTGCAAAACACTGGCACGTAGGWAACAACGCCTGTTAGGCCCRGGGGGGGCTAGTTCAGAACAGTGAWGAAGTGAGCAGAGGAAAGGAGAATGAAAACGGGASTTCCCAAACTTGAGTGCTCATTTCCTATGAAATGTGACCACAGAGYAATCGCTTTATGCAGAAAACTGTGAAGCATTTGAGGCAGCACTTTGGAAGTGTCCAACTAAGAGCTGAGGGTTGATGGCAGGGACACTTCTGGATTTTTTTTCTTCTCCTCTCCTGAGGAAAGGATGCCGAAAGGCCCTTGGGCACGGGGACAGAAAGGTTGCAAAGTCCAAGCACATGAGGTAATGGGCAGGAGCGTGAGGGTCTGCCTCACTGGCTGTGTCCACTGGCTGTCCTGAAGCCCAGCAGGACTTCTGTGGTGATCTAGGCAACTTTGCTGCAGACTATATATAAATGTGCAGGAAGCCATAACCTGAAGTACTTGCATCCTTGCAGTACCAAGAAAGTAAACACTGTTTTCCAAGGCTTTGCAAATGCTACAAGAAAGAGCTGGTGATAGACTACAAAACTTCTGAGATCCAGAAGGRTCCTGTAACTTCATCACTGCTGGCTAAGGCCAGATAAGGAGTTTCAGGATGCCTGGACTGTTGAAGGATCTTGACTATTCTTGTGATGCTGATCTGAATCCTTCTGGGAACCTCTTGCAGAAGAGAGTTGTGGCAGCAACTGGTCACACACTTGGACAACTATTTGGCACCTGTAGCTAGGAAGGAGTAGTGAGGAGATGGGATGCTTCTCCCAGTAGACCTMTAAGTTATTGAAAGATACTGTCAGAAGTCATCAGAATTAAAAGAAGTGGGAGGAAAACCTCTGCCTTCTCCAATTGTGATCTCTCTGGACTGCTCCGAGGGCAGCTTGGTGGTGTTCCTGCCTGATAGTGCTTCATTCCACACATGGAGACCCACTGCACTTGGGGAGGGACGTAAGGAGGAATCCCGGCTAAGCCTGTGAGCAGATCCACTTGGAGAGCAAGGAGCTCCTGTGCACGCTCGCCTCCAGTGCAACTCCTTGCTGAAGCAGCCACGGAAGCAGGAAAAACAGAGACACAGCATCTGCACAGTAACAATGCTCAGTAAATTAATATTTTTAATTGCTGTTGCACACAGAAGAAATGAAGAAAAAATACATTCCAAACGAAGAATTAAAATAGTAAAATCAGCATAAAAATACGTTAAGAAAAGATCCCAGATGGGGTGGCCGTGCTGTCTGTGGTGACCTTTACAATCACGGTGAGGAAGTGGGTGCTGGAAAGGCTCGGGGTGCGAGCTCCGCTTGGTGTGGGGCCAGGCCCGCCGGCCCCACAGTGTGGGCCCGGCACAGCCTGGGCCTGCTCRGCGCCCGTGGCTCCGTGCCTGCCTTTTTGGTTCGGCTGGGAGGGCAGGGGCTGTTTTTGTGGTGCTTTTTGTTGAGCTCAAGGCTGGGGTTGCTGGCCTGCAGCAAGGCCCYTGGTGCCCGAGCCAGCCCCGTGCCTTGGCGTCCCGCCGCGCCGCGAGCTCGTCCCGCACCACCGCCTGGCACCACAGGAGCAGCACAGGCCTCGGAAGCTTTGGCGTTCCCGCCAACTGGCCACCTCTTTTTTTGAGTTTTAGTCTATCTAGAGCTGTACATTTTTATTTATTACAGTAAGATCAAAAATAAAATAACATCAGGAAAACTTTCTCCAAATTAGGAAAATGAAAAATCATGAAAGGTTTTAAAGAAACAAAAAGAGTTTGCATTGTGTTTGCTTCTGAGTTCATATTAAGATTTTACTGCAGCTGCTTCAAAGTTATGGTCCATTTTATAKGTGCACGACTCAGGTTCCTCGGTGGGTGGTTGTACAGCACTGCTAGTGCTACCACRACCTCGTACCTCCTAGCTGCACTATCAGATCAGAGATCAGTGAGTGGAGCATTTTTGTACAAGCTGAGAACATGGTGATGGCTTAGAGCTGTGTTTCTAATCTACAACGTTCTGGGCTTTAGGGCTGATGGTACAAAGACCTCCTGCTGCGCAGAGCCTTTGCTCTCCCGCGCACGCGAAGGGCGGAATCCCGAGAGGGACACGTGGACGCCTCCATCGAGACCTCCCCTCGYGGCTGCTTTTAAAGCCAGTGACACTTAGAGCCACCGAAGTGAAACGGTCCTTTGGAAGATGTCCCATGAAACTGAGCTCACCGCCGGCAGCGTGAAGGCCAGCGAGAACAACTCCATTTTCTGTTCCTGTCTTTCGGCAGTCCTGACAGCCTGTGGGCGCCGCGCTGCGGCTGCATTGGATTTCCTCTAACAGCCAGGGATGAGGCCTGACTGCAGGATTTGGATGCAGAGCTCACATCTTGAGGATTTGGTTGAGACTTGTAGAAGAACTAAAAACCACTTGCAACAGTGAAATCAGAGTTCAGGCTTTCAAGCTAAACCTTCCTCCGAGTTCAAGTGCAACTAAGCCTTTCCTGTTAGACATGAAGAATAAATATTTTGTGTTTGCTCTCCATCTGACGCAAATCAAAAAGGCAGTCAYATATTCCAGGCTCTTAAGGGAAGTCCTGCCAATCCATAGAAGAATTTTTAACACTATAATACAAGAGTACTTGGGACTTATATAGCACTTTACATCTCCAAAGCGCTGCATGAGTATTAATCCTCACAGCATCTTGCGAGGTAGATTCRTGTGGATATCTCCCTTCTAGCAATGGGATAAGACAGAAGGAGGGCCTGGTCCCCTGATGCTGTGACAYGGCTTTGCTCTGGTTTTCATGCCCATCTACACCAGAGGAAGAGCTGGCTCCAGAAGGAATAAGTGATTTACCCAAGGCCACAAAAGGAGCAAGTGTGGCTAAGAGGCAGGAGAAGGACATAGGAGGACTTTTCCTTTGGGAAGCCAGCACTTTTCCAGGCTGGACTGGGATCACAGTCTCTGCTGAGAAGAGCTTGTCTGCACCCCAGCAAAGAGAGAGGTGCCAGCCACCGAGTTACCACTCTAGAGTTGCCATTTGCTGTGATGGGTTTCTGCTGGCACAGACCCCACAGTTACCGTGATACCAAGCTGAAAACACGCAAGTCTCAGGGACAAACTATGGAATGAGAAAACTTAAAAGAAACACTAAGGAAAAGCCCGGGGATTTTGAACGTGTGTCTGTATTTCCACCGAGGGCAGTGTATTTTCAGCAATCTACTTCAAAAGCACAYGAGAGTTGCTCTTAACCAGTCAGGTTTTCAAATCCCTTCGGTAGGGAGGGGTAAGATGCCATGTATAAAGCACTAAATCCTCTGGCTTTCTCTTTTCCCCCTGCCCTTTCTTCATCTGCGTCGCAGCACTGACATTAGTGGAACTAGCACCAACCACGGCCTGCGAGCAGCGTTGCCTCTTTGACCACGTGGGGAGCTTCACCTGAGCAAAGACGAGGAGGAGCTGTGGGTGGGGGACTGCACAGGAAGGTCCAGAAAGGCCTGGCAGGGCCATGTGCAGGTAAGTGCTCCCCATTTCTTGYCTGCTCCCTTATGAGTTGGAGACTGCCCTCACTGGCAGTAAGGGGAAGTGTTTAACAGCCTGTCAGCAGCCACTCAGTGTTCCTCACGGTTGGTGAAACTCAGAGTTATGTCAAATAGGTGGCTGCAGCAGCTGGTCTCTCCTGGRCAGGAATGATAGTCTCTGGAAAAAGGCATCTGTTCAAGTAATGTGGATTAAGAGGGGAACCGTGGAGCAGGAGTTAGGTGACAAGAGCCTTAGCTGGGGACCTGCGGATCAACCTGGGCCTCTTCCTGGCTTCCTGTGCCTCACGTCCAGGGGCAGCAACGCGAGGATCCGCTCAGCAGGAGGGCAGGTTTCCTGTGAACMCGTGGAAGGGCCTTCCTGGCACATGTACGGTGGTAAAGCAGGACAGCACAGGAAACCAAGATAAAAAAGACTGCAGAAAAGCAACTAGGACATCCTCAGAAAATTGAGGAAGATTGAGGAAGGGAATGGCTCACACTGGCATCTGAACTTGTGAGCTGGGTATCAGCAGACAGCCTCTGCRGCGAGCTGCAGCGCGGGGCTGGCGCCGCGGCCGGGCACGAGTGCCGCTCGTGAACGAAGGCGCCGCGCGGCTTTAGGTGCCCGCGTGGCTATAGGTGCCCGCGCCGGCCGTGTCRCTGCCGCCCTTACACAAGCGCCTCGCAGCGAGGGATTACGCTGCCGCGACTCCTGCRCCCCGCGGCGAGCCCAGCCTCCTCAGCCCTGCCCGAGGAGCAGCAGATGCTCCTGCAGGGCCAGGAYACTTAGCCTAGTTTTGCTGTAACGCTGGCTGGGCTTGCGCTAGTCCGGGAGAGCCCTGGGCAGGCACTGCCTGTTGCACACAGAAGGCATTGGGAATGCAGGGGAGACCTGCTAGGGCTGGAGCCTTCCCTTACCTGCCTCAACCCTGCCATCCCGCCTCACGGAGAGGCGTTCCTGCTCCGCCAGCTGCTCCAGGGATTCAGTGCCAGGCGTTCAGTGGGAATGCGCCAAGCACRCCAGGCCTGGAGACAACAGTGACATCCAACCTGCGAGGACACTCTGGACACTCAATTTGCCCTGCCCAGGTGGGYGTACTGAAGGGCTTGTTGGAGCCATGCGCCTGCTTGTTTGGGCTGGAGGAGGTGCCAGCCCCAGGGAGCCTCCTTCACCCTGCTCAGGGCACTAGTTGCACCTTGAAACGAGCCCGCAGGGAGCACCTCGGGCCCCAGGAATGGTCCCAGGAGCGTGGGCTGAAAGGAACAACGCATTCAAGAAAGTTTCAAGCAGAAAGAGAGCTCACTGTAAGGTATCTTAGGGAAGAGGAAAAATATGATCCCAAATGMACTTGCTTTAGTTAATAGGGCTGCTCCTTTCTATATCTTTTTAAGAAAGTTTTAAGTTGGAAGTAATCCAACTTAAGTTGGGTCAGCATGCGGACAAACAGAGCGGAGAAGGGGGCTGTGAATTAAACTGGCTTTCCCGCCCCCGGGCTTGCACGTTCCTGGTGCCAAARGAAGTGGCAGGCGCTTGGAGCACCAGGAGGCTCCAAGAGCAAGGGCTGCCATGCGGATCACGGACTACTGGTCGGTGAAAGGCAGCAACTGCCTACAGCCAAAATGAGGGCCTTGATTAGCTGCCCTCAGACAGGGGAAACGCTTGTGGGGAGATCTGGGAGCAGTACTGCGAGCAGCAGCGCTGCAAGAGCTTGAGGGGTAAGTAGAGTATTATTTGTGAAAATSCTGAGGAAGAAAGGCATAAAGGATAGATCCCATCTGCCACGTGAAGGAGCCAGAGAGGAGGTGTATTTGTACGATAGCTCCTCAAAGCCCTTCTGCMGCCTTCACAGTTCTTTGCATTCCTGGCACACCTCGGCTGTCACTGGTGGCTGCTRGCACCGTATAACCATGTACATGTGGCACAGGGAGGACACACTGGCCTGGCTACGTGGATTTCCCTGAAATTGCTCCTGCTGCCACATTAGCACAGAGACCCATCCACAGAGGCGCTCCGGAGCCGGGAGGGTGCAACGGAAGCGGCCAGCACCGCCTCGCAGGGCGCCCCTTGCGCCTGCTCCCTGCCGCTGTCCCGCTGTCACCTGGCTCTGCCCGGCCTGGCCCGCGCGCTGTTCTTGCCTCCAAAGCTCAGCCTGCAACTGCCAGTGCTCCTTGTGCTCTGCTTCTGAGCTGCTTCTCAGCAGAGGCTCTGGTAGCTCCACTTTGCTTGCYGAGCTCGCAACGCACTAAAGGAGAGACCAGCTGGAATACCAATTAAATTAATTTTTACCTATTTAACAGAGATGTGGGCCCGTGTGCCCCCTACGAAGGCAAGTCTCCTAGCACAGCGCACTGCCGAACCTCCTCTCCAGCAGCCTCCCTCTTCCCAGATGCTCAGCCTCAGTTTCAGGACTAACAAACGCAGTGCAGTCGTACAGCACTTCCAGAGAGGAACAGTTCAACGAGCAGCTACTGCAGGGACAGTCTAAGCTTCTCGCTGTGGGCTCCACACTGAAGTAAGCAGTACTCAGAGAAAGCCACAGAAAAAAAAGCCCCAAAGGTAACGCTTCAAAGAAGCAAAATCAACATCACCAACGTGCCTAGAGAAATGGAGATCTCTCTCAGGGGTGAATGCAGCTACAACACCTGAGATATAACCCATATTGTCCACAAGCTATTGGCACTACACCTAGTTCCTCTTTCTGAAGTCCTCGTCCTCTCTGCTCTCTACAGCGGACAGTGCAATAAGCATTTGGGCTGCATAGTAAGTGGCCATGATGATGACCCGTGAGTAGGGCACGGGGAAGCAGAACTTGTTGACTGCAATGGTCAGGTCCGACACCATGAAGAGCATGGCGCCAATGCAGGCCGAGAGCTTGGTCCACGTCCAGAGGTCGTTGCAGAGCTGCATGCCGGCCACCGCCCGCCAGCCCATGAAGCCAATCAAGGCGATGTAGACGGCCACCAAGTAGGTGAAGGGGCCCGAGAGGTAGGAGTACAGGAAGGCATAACAGGAGCTGGAAACGAGGCCCATGAGCAGGCCAGCTTTCAGGTCCAAAGGCTTCATGCCGAAGGCCGAGGAGTACAGGATGTGGGTGATGGCGAACATCAGCAGACCTGCAAAGAGGCATCGACAGCAGAGGTGACTGGCAGCCTGCAGCAGCAGGAAGCCTGCAGCTGTGCTGGCTTTCAAATACACAGCAACAGCTACCTGCTTAGATGTCCCTGCAATATTACAAGCCTTACTTGCCTTCAGTGAGAACGTTGCTGAGTGCTGGGCATCGTTTTATGATAAAATCTGCACCTCCCAACAGGGGGTTAGCCTTGGCAGCCAGCTCCTGTCCTAAGGATTTGCCTTGGAGCACAGCTCTGGCAAGATCCAATTGCTTTTGCAGCAACTAAGCTGCTAAAGAAGGACAAAATTTGTTTTTCAGAGGGATCCACCTCCACTGGTTTGGACAGAAGGATRGGTGCTTGGAAGACCAATAATCATCCCCCCTTTAACTACCTGAAGCATTTCGCTCCTGTGCCACTTGTAAAGCAGGAAGGGTGGAATCAGAGCAGGTGAGAATAAAATGGGCAGAGCTTCTGATTCTCTCCAACCCAGAGACCAAGTCTGTTATATTTAGCCACAGACCCCCAGACCACTCACACTGTCACTAAATCTGGCTTCTGCTCCACTTCTGCTTGCAGCCAAGGGAAGCCTTAACTGGAAAGAAGCAGCTGGCATATTTTAGGGGCTGCACCAATGTGACTGGCCAATGATTTTATGGCTATTTGCAAGCTCCAGATGAACCTTAACTGGAAGCAATCAGCAAAAAAAAAAAACGCAGGCTTTCCTCTGTAGGGCAACATCCCTGAGAAACCCCAGTTGTGGGTGTTAGAAGGTCCTGCCTGGGCGTTACTCACTTGCCRCTAATCCATTTCCCAAAAAACACCCAGTGTGTTGGGACAGCTGCTGATTACTAGTCCTCTTGCCCGTTGCACATAACAGGCCCCAACAGGGTCCTCTCTTCCCCAACTCTATGTGGTGCAACTTTAAAGCCACTTTACCCAGGGAGTCTTACTAGTGTGGCCACAAGTTTCTGCACAACTCTAAGACACAAAATCGTGCAAGGATCTGAGGAGCCAAGGGCTCGAGCAGGCCACAGACACAAAATCGTGCAAGGATCTGAGGAGCCAAGGGCTCGAGCAGGCCACTTAATTTTAAGAATGATACTGAGTGTCAAGGGGAGCCACTGAAACCTGATGGTGGCAGATGTTTGTTCTTCATCCATCATAGGCTGAGGCTGCCCCAGGAGAGGGAATTATCTCCTCACCTTTGTGAGGAGGAAATACCAGATCTAACCGAAACCATGAGGTGAGGAAGGAAAGCTGCAGAACGAAGAGGGAAGGGAGGCTGGTTTGCAGGGGGAGACTGGAGAAAATGGATAGCGTGAAGGCAAAGGAAAAGAAAAGCCCAAAAGAGGGCAAGAAGAGGCAGATGTTTTACAGAATTATTAAACACCAGGAGCATAAGAGATTGAAGGAAACCAAGCAGGGATTGAGGATGAGAGCTATGAAAGGTGAAGGAAAGGTTGGAGCTGTGGAGGCAACAGGAGGAAGGTTTCCCACAGTTTCTGCCTCTGTGGCACTGTGTGGAGAGCGCTGAGATGGGGAACTGAGGGATGTGGTGCCCTGGTGCAGGAGGAGGAGGAGGCTGCGCAGCTGCCGAGGAAGGGGCAGCAGGAAGGGGGCCGGGCGGCACGGGACCCGGCACTGCGGCCTCTGCAGGGAAGCGAGAGGGGAGGAAAAGCAGAAGCAGAGAAAGGCCGGGGAGGTTTGTGGTGAGGCTGGACACAMACACAAGAGGCTGCTCCGAGGTCTTCTCATTTGACAGGCACAAAAAAAGCCGGGCGCCAGGRAAACCAGTGCTGACGGTGCAGGGAAGGGGACGTGTCGCTGCTGCGGGGACACGGAGCTGACAGCTGCTGCTCAGCCTGCACCGGGCCCCCATGGCCCAGGCAGGAGATCAGCYCTCCTGCGCTGCCTGCTTCCTTCCCTCCTCTGCTTCCTTCTGGGCCGTGGAGGTGGAAGCAACTAGCCTGGATTTGTGGCCCTGGATTTGTGGTCTCCCCACAAGCCCCGGAGTTTCCCCGCAGGCTGGTGATAACATCTTTTTCCTTAGTCCCTCTCCTGCTCCCTGAATGCATCAATTGTTTCCAGGGGCTTTTTAGCCAAGGAGGTGGGTTTAACACTGTAAATAACCTCTATGTACAGTAAGGCACTACCCAGAAAAGAGCTTGTGGACTGAAGCAACAAAAATGAAAAAAAGTCAAGTGTGTCAGGAGTGGGTTCCCAGGCTCCCACTTCCGTGTAAAATAATGAACAGATGTCCTTTAATAAACTCATTGTCTCAGAAGCTATTCAACTTAGTCCAGTTTCCAGCCCTTTTCTTTTTTTCCATCTTGAAAGCCATAGAAATTGAATAGAAAGTATATTTGGGGTTACTTATTCCCTTGAAAATTGAAATTTCCACAGAGGATGATGTCAAAAATGTGAATGTTTTCAGTGGCCAGCAGTGGCAGCTTGCTGAGATGAAACCGCAGCAGCTGTTCTGCAGGTGGGGTGGCAGCTGAGGTGCAGCGGGGCGTTTGCGGTGCGGCCCGCTGAAACCCGGCGCTGCACCCCAGCGGGGAGGGCAGCAGCTCAGAGCGGGATCAGCAGCAGCAGCAGCAGCTCGGATCCCAGCGGAGCGGGGCAGCCAGGAGACGGCCAGCATAAAGGCGGAGGTTTTCCAAGTGGGAGTTAAGCAAATACTCTCCTTAAATGACAAAGAAGAACGTGTCCAAGTCCCCAACCGAACACTACTTAGTTGTAAGAGGGGACAAAATCCAGGGTTTTTTTTTCCATCTAAAACAACCTGGCAGCAAATTGCTGTGACCTGTCGGCTTTCCTGTATTGCCAGATGGGAGGGGACTGGTTGATCCCAGCTGCAGGGAATAGGGGAAGCTCCACGCTGTCCATGTACAGAAACGGTCCCACTGAGGAGCACGGTGAGAAACTGGGCCCTGAACATTCCTAAGTCACAGCTCAAGACAGAGGGGACAGTGCCCTGAGCGCTGCCTGGGGCTCCTCAGCACCGTACCCAAGACTCAGCTTCTCGGATCCATTCCTCAGGGCCCAGCCTAACCCCTGTCGAAATCAYTAAGAGTTTCTGCGTGGACTTCTAATGAGACTTGGTAAAGCCCTTGGGAAGCAGGATTAAAACCACATTCCAAGTACTTGGCCTTTTGTAGCTGGCATTTCACGCACTTYGCTCTCATAAAGAAAGCAGAGCTCAAGAGAGTCTCAGGATAAAACAAAATACTGACCTCCTGTGACAAGGACGAGAGGAAAACCTTTGACTTTTGGAGCAGACAACTGCACTAATGGGAAAAGCCTCCTCCTCTCATCGCACTTCCCACAGGCTCACCTGGCAGTTAACGGTGGGTGTTCAAGTGAGACCACTCAAACCCAACGTTCAAGTTAACTTCGGCACCAGTGTGGCTACGTGAAAGACTCGACTGCTGTTGATTTCCTATGACAGTCCAAAGCCACTGGGAGCAGTGCTCTAGGCAGGACAATGTGGCCTGAAATCGTTAATCTAAATCGTTGTGTKCTAGTTTGCAAAACAACAAAATAAAATAGATTTGTTTTGCTCTGAGAGACATGGATCTTTCTAAGGAGAAGATGGGCTGTCCTGGTAGGCTTCCCGTGATTCCTTATCATTTACGGGTCTTGCAAAACCAGCTCCTGTTTTTGTAGAACAGGCTGCATGATTCATAGTGATGAACCTGCAAGTAGGACAAGGTTTCTGGTGCTTTGGTTTCTAGCATCCACCTAAGCACTGCTGTCAGACCACAGGCTTGTCTGCCAAAACCAAAAGGGTCCCTTGTGCCTGATCCCTGCTGAGGGGCCTGTGCACCCTGCCTCCCGTTTCAGACCCTGGCAGGACTGACAGATCTCCTGGCAGAGAAGGAGAAGCAAGACACTGCCCATGGCTACACAGGAGCTGCCAAGTGTTTCCGTCTCTTCCCCAGGGACTCTGCCTGTGCCGCTTTCCTGTTCCAGCCACCTGAATCAGCGAGCACGTGTCAGGAAAACAAACCTGCTCCAACCACCCCTCTGATCCCACAGCAGGGACACAAACAAGGTCAGGAGACTCATCCACTGTGTGACTCCTCTAAATGCAATGGATTTTAGTCAAGGGATGAGCACCTCCCACTGCCAGCAGCTTAAGCTGTAAATGAATAAGCAACCACATGGCCCGGCAACTCATTCCTAAATAAAGAATGTGACAGCTGGCCACGGTGGCATCCCTTTGGGACGGATGCCTCACTCACCGTGAATGAAGTAGCCCTGCTCCTGCCAGATGAGAAAGGCATCTCCTACTGCCGAGAATATGAGTCCCGCCAGGATGCGGCTGGCGCTCCGGTGTGCGACTAAGAAGTTGATTCCATGAGCCAGGAGGAAAACCCACAAGCAGAAGATGGGCAGACATTTGATGAGGGCACTGAACCACGAAGGACTGGAAGTTGGCAGCCAGAGGACAAAATAGACACAAGTGGCTTTGAAGAAGGGCACCAGTTTAGGGCCTTCACTCTTCACCTAAAAGAAAAAATAATTAAAAGAAATGGAAATTAATAGGATCATCAGAAGCATCAGGAATGGACAGCACACAAAACTGTCACCTTCCCTTGGAAGTTCCCCTTTCATGTATACTCTTGGCTAGCAACATTTCCACCTTAGAGAAGCTGCTTGAACTTGACCATGATTTCCAACTTAGACCCTTGTGAATGTCTCTGCAGGAAACACCTTTTGGCTGGCAGGCTTGGGGAAATAGAGATGGAGGAAGCTTTAGATACCTTTTCTTTGTGTCATACTGAAAATATTTAAGGAATCGGTCAGTTCTTGGTGGTGGCCCTTCCACATGTGTTTAGACTGATTGCTTTTACACATACCTTTGCTGTAGCTGAGAACATACTGCACTCCCCTAGCCGCAAACAAGTCAGTCAAGGTGCAAATCTTTGTCACAGCTTGGGGAGTGCTCGTGCTTAGCTAGCCACGCATCACCCTGGGGATATAACTGCTCTCATAACCCATTCGCTGTCCTGCCCTGTAGGATCAGCACGTGACTTCAAAACCCACCACATCAGCCTCCAAGGTGGGGATGTCACTTCCTCAGGTGACTAACATTAATGTCAATCACATGTTGTTTTGTTTGGACATTACACTAATCATAGACTATCCCTATTGCAGGAAGCGCTTTGGCTTAGGAGTCTCTTGTGTAAATCCAGACACCAAAACACAGCGTGAGCCCCAGCTACTCACAGCAAAGAAGAGGCAGAAACAGACTCCACAGCCTATCCAAGCTGAGTCTGCTTTTCCCAAATGCCCAGCTGGGACCATCCTAGATGGTAAGATACATACAATGTTCACCTGCTCTCCTGTGACTCTTCTGCCCAAGGGGAAAAATGAAAATCCTCAAGAAAAAATAAGTTACAGTTCTGTTTTGTCCCAGGGTGTAGCTGAGGGCTGGAACAAGGAGCCTCGAAAGGTGATCGCCCGGTGCTCTTGGTGAGCTCCATGGTGGATCTTTCAGGCCGCTTCCTCCTGCAGGGAAGGTGCTGCGGCACCCAGGGGTCCCCTGCAACCAGGGGCTTCTCTCTGCGCTGTCTTTCCTGTGGCCAGGTTAGGGTTACTGCTTAGTTCACAACGGCCTCCCAGTACTGATGGCCAAAGCACCATGCACCAGAGGAGGATACAGGGCAGAGTCTAGGGGCATTGCTGCTGGGGTCACTGTGAAGTCCAGCACAGTTTGGGACATCCACATGTGGGGTGCTGGGCTTGCTTATCTAATACAAGAATCCGTGTACCAAAAACGGGGCAGGAAATCCTGCTCTTTTCTTCCCAGGCCCTTATACCAAGGGATGTGGCGGTGACTCAAAGGCAGCGTCTGCCTTCCTCTCACTGCAGTGTACCTTGGTTCAGAAATGAGGACCAGGTTTCTGTGTCAGGCAAATAGCTCCATGCTCAGTTATTAGGGCCTACGCTCACCAAAATCCAGGGGCTTTTGCAAAGAGAACCTGGGTGAAGCTGGAAAACTGAGACAAGGTAGTAGAGGGTATCCTCATGTGCAGTGTCTAAAAAGGGAGTGCAGTCTCTGAAGCAGAAGGACCACAGATAAAGGTACCTTAGGAAACAGTGCTTTCAAAATTGCTTTTATATCTGATAAAACGTTCCTCAACATATCAGCATTTTCTTACCAGAAAGGTATTTCATTATTCATGAATTCATTATTCATAGGCTATTGCCAACACAATCTTTAAACACCCCATTAAGCAACCAGGCTACATAATTCACTCACYAAAGGACATCAACAAGCTGTTAAGTTTCTTGTATTACATAGGGAGCCAGTCATCAGTCCTCTAGACTGTCCAAATTCATCACCTTTATCCCCTTTTGTTTGCATTTCTTGGGAGAATTCTGACAGCAAATGTCAAGTGAACTTGAAATCAAGTCATAAAAGTTGGGATAATGCTACCTGCACGGGGGATGCCTGGGAGCTGCCAAGTGCCTGTACAGGGAAGAGGGGAGCCTCGCTCCCCACTGCTGTTCTCCCAGACCCAGCTCCCTGCTCTTCCGCAGTGACGTGTCAGCACTTCTGGCAGGATCTCCTCCTTTACCCCAGTAACCACGGAAGCTCCCCAGTGCTCCATAAAGAGCCTGAAATGTGAAATCTTTAATACTTATGACATATATGACTTACATTACTAAAAACTGACAGCATCTGAAGCTGCAGAGAACTGCAGAGTTGGCCGCACTGACGGYGATCTGGTTCTCTGCAACAGTCTCAGCTCAAGTAGCTAGTTTGCCASCTCGGAAGGCAGAGTCTATGCTGAAAGGGCTGAAGTTTGGCTTTGTTTGAAACCCATGACAAGGGCACACTTAGAGCAGACAGGAGAGTATTTGGGTTAATACAAACATGGGAAGTTTTGTTTAAAACCTTGTATTAAAAGAAAACACCTGCTAGGAGCAGTTACCATTACTCGCACAGCTTGCCCTCCCCTGTGAGTGTGCATGAGGAGGCAGGTTTTAATTACACTTGTCATTTTCCCTAGGAACCTTGCTGTCCTGATCATAAGATATACACTTGGGCAGAAAGATTATGTTTGTTTGGCAACCTTGAAATTACCAACTCCTACTGTCTGAACATGAATCTTCCAACCCCAGCTAGCATTACTTTGAAATAATGGTTTGTATTATTTGCACCTAATAAGAACTGAGGATTTCTTCAGGCATAAGGGGTCAGATTCCACCCTCAGTTATTGTCATATAATCTCAGAATTCATGATCTTAAGGTCCTCAGATAAAAATAGCTCCGTAGCACTAGGAAGCCTACATGCCTGACATCATTAGTATTTCATTCCTTTACACCTCCTCAGCAAACATGCTTCAAATGAACTATTTTAAAACATGCCCTTGTCCCTTGCACAGGGGCTCCAAGGAAGCCCTGGGCTGGCTCCAGGCGAAGCGAGTGGCCCGGGAGGGAAGCTGCTTGTGGAGACCAAAGGGCCACGTGGCTGAAGGCCACCATGTGGATGTGGCACTGGGCACCCTTGGGAGGAGTCTCCCAAGGAAAACTGAGGCAACCGAAGGTGAGACGGAGGGATTCTCTCTTTGGACAAGTGGATGGGGCTTGGGAAGAAGCGATGGGGCAACTTGGCACCTGAAGGACACGTTGTGGCTTGCGGAAAGCCAAGCGCATCATCCGTGACTGGACTTGCCTGTACCTCAGGGAAGGGAATGTGGCTGGATAAGTAAATTATATCAAACCACCCATTTCYGCTGCACCTGTGTCCCAAGGAAGGCTTGTGAGGTGTGGATGTTGGAAAAGACAGACACTTGCTGCAGGTGGCAAGGTCTYTTTTTTTGCTAAGGAATATGATTTTCAAGGCTTTAAGTAAGGTTTTGCCATTTTATGATAAATTCTATCTTTTTTTTTATTCCTAATTCTTTTCTTCTTCCACTGCTAATTTACTCTGGGCTAAAATGCAATTTAGGAAACATCTTAAATACAATGCTAAAACAACGTTTGCAATCTTTGACTTTCTAAACTGTGTGTAAGTCAGGACATTTCCTAAATTTTTGTGACTACCAAGTTACTTACAGTCTCTATGAAGTAGTTGCTGTAGGTGCTATAAAACCACTTGCTCTGTATTTGTGGATTTACAGCGAAAATACCAATGTAAATTATCTGGTTTGATGGCTTGTGCCTGCAAAACCCAACCATCTCTATGGGGTAGAGATCTGGATGATCCTCCATCTCCTGCAGAGATGATCTGGAGGAGCTTCTCTTCTGCTTCTCAGCAGCACCGGTACCTCTGCAGCATCACCCTGATGGAAATGAGAAGCTTCTCTATGAGCAAATGAACAAAGGGGCATAACAGGATGGACTGAAAGTAGGATAGAAAAAATTTAGCTGGCACATGGAGACATCTTGCTCTKGAGGTGCAGAAAAATGGCATGAGGTTTTTGCTTCAAAATGATAAAGCTGAAGACAGTTTGCTCTTCGTAAATCTTGCTCTGGCCCCAGGAAACACCACAGGGCACCAAATAACACCCTTCTCTCTGCAGACCCCCTAGATCCACCTGCAGAAAACACGTGCATAACTTCTTGCAGACAAGAAGGCAAATGTGGCTCTTAGCAAGGCACTCACTGTGCTCTGCCCTGTCTCAGTCGCAGAGGGAGAACTTGGGCTGGGGGCTGGATGGCACCATTAGGACCTAGGACGTATGAAACATGCGACTGGCTCTAACTGAAGAGCACCTGGGAACTGACCCAATGCCCCMTAAGGCTACGGCTACAGAAACCCCATCTTCACACTTGACCAAAATGGTGTGAGAGAGAGGAGTAACTCGTGTGTCCCCAGATGCTGCCCAGAGGTGGCTGGTTCTCGCGGGCCTCCCCAGCTCCTCAGCCCTGCCGAGCAGAGGAGAAGGCAGCAGAGCTGCACAGCTCCCAGCCACCGACCCACGGCCAAAGCAGCCCCCTCCCAGGCTTGCTCACACGCCCCATGCCGGCTCGTGCAGTGCAGCGTCGAGCTCTCTGGCTGTGCACACACTCAAACAGAGGTAGGCGGGTGCTTGTTTAAGGCAGGGCTTCAGGTGTGTGCGTTATACAGAAGGCTCAGCACCCAAATGCACCATTTAAATTTTCTTTCCTCTTTCTCCTGTTACTTCTTGGGATAACTTCCCTCCAGAAAAATGCTTAGTCTTGCATTAAGAACCRCATGGCTTTTTCAAGCGCAATGGACGTTTTCAGCTACAAATAAACATATAGGTGCTTAGGTGTTAAAAAGGACTTGCCTTTTTAAGCACTCTCTACGGCAGACTGGGAGGAACGCCCTGTGGCATTTGGGGGCCTTACCTGGCCATGGATCAGAGCCCCAGCAGCCACTCTGAGTGCCCAGCTCTCTATCCCTCCTGGGCAGCTCGCGRAGCAGATGGATGAGATGGAAAGACTCTGTCCCATTAGGCATTTTGCTCTGTGGGGCTGCTAAAGAGCTTGGCTGGTTGGGACAGCCCTAACTGTGGCCTCCTTGGGG